TTGCAAAATGCTAAATAAATAACAACAAAGAAATTTTCATGCAAAATAGAATGAAATGTGTGCACCTGTTTATTTATTTAATTAAGGTTTGTCCAATTTCTTTTGAGGTTAATTTTAATTACCCTTCTGACAAAATAGAAGCAGAAGAAATCTTTATGTTTGAGTGCATTGTTAGCTTAGCTTGTTAGATTCCGATAAAGCCTTATTTAATTTGACAGACTAGAGTACTCGGGGACTGTTATCTACATCCATTATGTGAATTTTGTCAAAATAATTCCCTGTGTCTGTGTATTACCAATAGTTAATAATGCATTCTGCTCAGACTTCATTTTAATTACATTAAATTGCAGCAGGTTGAAGTCCTATAAGCTCAGGAATATAACCATCTGCCTTTAGCATTATAAACACTATAAACACTTCCATTTTTCTTCAGGATTATTGGCAACAACAATCACATAATCATTTCCTATGGTATCTTATCCAAAAAGAAAACACTTTTGGAAAAAAAATAGACTTTCTGAATGTACTTGCATGCTTGGAAGGAACTATTTAATTTTGTTGGAGAAATGTCTGGTGGCATTTGCTTATTCCCAAGGCCCCTCGCACTAAGGCAATTTCCTGATCTTACATTTATAGCAAAAATGATAACAATAGAAGGGGGTTTTTTTCTCAAGATGAGAGAAAACCATAATGGTGCTGACAGTGGGAGATTCAACTATAAAAACTTATCTACATTTGAATGGTGTGGTAGATTAAGATAGGGGGTGAATTTAAATCTCAATAGCTGTGCCTAAAGCACCCCATGTGTGGACACTTACTCTGGAAGTAAAGTGGTACACCAGGAATGAATCATGGATAGAGATGCCCTTGGACTTTGTCTATCCTACAAAGTTAAACTGCCATGGGTACCTGAGTATAAAATGATCAGACCCTATAGCTGATGAAGCTTTTTATGGAACACCGCTGGTATGGATGCCACTCTGTCAGAAAAAAACACCTGCCAGCTGAGCAGCATCTGCACTATGGGCCCAAATACAGCCCTGCCTGCAGGCAAAATGTCAGCTGTCCTGGTAATGCAATGCAGACATCGCCTAAGGGTCAGGGAGAGGCTGTGAGTGCAAATACAGTCAAAAAAACAACAACTGTGAAGCAGCTAGATATTATATTATAGGAAGGTGGGTGTATAACTAAGACAGATAAAATCCCTTCAGCAAAAACCGAGCAGCACCTTCATGTGGGGCTCTTATTCACTGAGACTTTTATCTTCCAATTATAGCCAGATGTTGTACTGAGACCCGAGCAAGATCCTGTGTGACCTGGAGGAGGCCCACAGGAGTCACTGTGATTCAGAAATATGCTTCAACCCCCACTTTTGTCTTTCTTTTGGGTGATAGTAATTCACAGCCAGCAGAGCTGGTGCCCCATGGTCGCTCAGCTCTTCCAGGCCCCAAGCGGAGAAAACGTGCAGCCGTTGCCTGGCTGTCTTTAACTGCTCCCTACCTCCTGGGAAAGGAGTTGGCTGACAAGTAGTCCCACTTACTGCTGCATACCTAGACTTGAGGTCCTAGTAAACCCCGTTATGGGATGCATATGTTCTTATTCCCTGTTATGCCTCTGGATATTTCAGCCCCCAAAACTATTTAACCTTGATTCTTCTTAATTTTACGGAAAAGAAGTAGGCACTTGGTACACTGTTTAATCACCCTTTTGAGACCAGCTCTGAGGCAGCCTTTGTAGTTGCCAGGGATCTGAGTTTTCAAATACTTTGCACCGACTGGTTCCCAGTTCCAGGGAATGATCTCTCAGCCACTTTGTAAACAGGATGCTGCCTGCTAGTTAATTTCTCTGATTGGTAACCTGATTTTCACATGCAGAACCCCCAAAACAAGGCATGCTTATTATTAGAGATTATATTATTATTATTATTATTAGAGATTATATTATTGGGTGCCTCGATACAGGCACTTTACTGCAGAGATGGCCAATTAGCTCTGCAGTAAAGCGTCACCATCTACATATGTGCCAGTATTGGGGCCCAGTAAATTAATTAACTCTGCCACAAGATAGTATTGTTGGGGACAATACTGTCTTATAGCGGGCTACTTGCGTGCACTGAAACGCACGTGTAGACGGTGACAGGGTGGTTGTGGCATGAGGATGCTAAGGTACAGGGGCTGCTTATTGCCTAGCCCTGCACTTTAGCACGTTCATGCCCCAGGCAGCACCTTTCACTGCCCAATGCCACCTATGGAAGTCTAGGGCTAACCCTGCAGACCCCGTGCCAGCCCAGGGCTGCTCCGCTCTAGCTCACAGTGCTGCAGCCCCAGGTGCACATGTAGACATGCCCAAGAGCAGTTGACTCCAACACAAACTGCACTGGAATTTATTGCTCCTCCTTAATTGCATGGGTAGATGCACCCATTATGGGGTAATGGTGATAGAAATCATAATATTTGTATCCGAATATTTGGCAGAAAAACGGATACTTTGTTTCCAATGGTCTTTGTGGCCGATTCACTATTTCATAATTATTTTCCCCTGAAAGCGGCCTTAAGTAAGAAGCCTCAGGAGTGAAATGTGAAGACCTCAGAGGATTTAAAATGATGATACATTCCTCCTTTCTGCGTAGAATTTAGTATGGAGAGATTCTTTCTGTTCCTGAGAAATAAAGTGGAGTTGAGGCATGTTGCTCATTCATGTGGATAGTTAAAGTTAGTGCGTTCAGGGGGTCATCCAAGTACTACTCACTGACAGGAAGGACCAAGAGTTTATTGCATACAACAGGAATGAGATGAGACAACAGTGAAACTGTTATGAAAGGGGGTTATGAACTTTCAAGAGCATTTGGGAATTCAGGAATGACACGTGTTGGCAAAAAGGAGCAGCAGCAACGTCATAGCATAATCGGAGGATGTGCACCACTGTAGAGCCGTGGGTACAGATTCTTAGCTGGTATAATTGATCATATCTCTGTTGACTTCTACACCGGAAGCCATTCTGCCCCATGGGTCCATAATGATGCATTTACTAGGATTGTGGGTGACATCTGCTAAACTTATCTTTAGTGGGTTGGATAATACGCGTGCCTCACTGAGAGCTGAACTTGCAGAGTGCCTAACTGAAGTGAAGATGCTGTAGGATGGGGTACAAGTCATCAGCAACGCTGCTTCATACTAACAACCTGCTTTTTGATTCCCTCGTACTTTAAGTTCTAGCTTGTTCTGTTGTTGACTCTTAATGACTAACCCCACTATCAAAATCTTTGGAAGAAATCATCAGTCCTGCGGTAGAATTTGCAGATAAAGAAAAAGGCCGTTCTATAACAGCAGCTCTGCTCTAGCCCCGGGGCCTCTTCTGACTGCAAGGGATAGAGGAGCCAGCTGCAGAGCACATAGTATAATGATTGAGGCCTATAAAGTTTTAAACATACAACAACATTAACAGGTTTCAGGGGAATGGGACTTCAGGAGAATCAGAGGCTTCTCTTGGCTAAACTAATGGGGAAGCTCTGCTCACAGTAGGAGGAGCAGTCTGTTAGATTTGAATAAAACATTTATCTTACAAACAAGCCATCATATCACATGCTTCCCCAGTAGAGCTGGGCAAAATTTTGACAGATAATTTCACTAAAACCGTGGAGTTTGGGGGAAACAAAAGCAGATAGTGAATTTGGATCAACTCCAGCAGCGAGCTTTAGAAGAAAAAAGAAGGAATTGTTGTAAAATGTAAAAACATAACGTTTTTCAAATGAAGTGTTTCAAGCGTTCAAGAATATAAGAGTGTTTGGGGATTGGGGGGAAGCGTTTCAATTAACTTAAGCTGATTCAACGAGCTAATGTTAAAGCGCCCCTGCCTCCATTTTGAAACACGGGGACGCTGAATACACGAGACACTGCAGCACGCTGGGGCGTTCGGATTGACTCCATCAAGTCAAAGGATGTATCATAGGTACAGATCTCCAGGATTCATTCCAGAGGTGCACGACACAGGGGCTTCTTGAATCTTGGAGTTTCCCCCCGCACACCCCCCACTGCTGATTGACGGAGGGGCCCCGTCACTCGCTGCTCGCTGCCTGCACCTGACGGTGTGGTTTTCACCTCCCGGCCATCAGGCGCAGGTGGCAAGCAGCAGGGCCTCTCCGACAATAGCAGCAGGGGACACACAGGGGACACTCCAAGATTAAAGAAGTCCCCGTGCCTCACACTGCCAGTGCAAATTCCTGGGATCCCTATTTGTGATGCATCCTCTGACATCCCTAAAGCATCTATTACTGCCACTTCGGAGGCAGGATACTGAGCTAGACAGACCATTGCTCTAACCCAGAATGGCACCGTTTATGTTCTTATGCTTCACTTGGGGAAATGCTGGAAACTTTCGGTTTTTGATGTTTTCTAAGTGAAACCTTTCCATTTGTTATTTAGAATTGTCATTTGCAAATTGCCCCGATTTTAAAAAAAAGAAGTTAACAAAAAAAAATGAAAGTATCTAAACAAAACACTTTGTTTTTAATCAAGAAAAACATTTTGGGTTGACTCGGAACATTTTTTAAAGCATTTTTGCTTGTATTAAAACTCAAAAAGAACTGGGTTGTGTTTTCCAGTTTTTCAGGTAAGCTACTACATCTGCTTAGTTTCATTTTTCTGAGTGCTATGCCACAGCAGACCTTCAAGTGGAGCATCTGAGATTCACTGGGTTTCTTGAAAACAGGTGGTAATTTATTACAACTCAATGCCAATATTATCACCTGTATTAAAAAGGAAAAGCATGAGATTAGTGGATTTGAATGCCCAACCCTTTGCTTGAACAACACTTTCCTCAGTAAGCTGTAGCTCAGCCATTTAAGAAAGATGTTGAACAATTCTGGATCCACACTAAGAAAAGTATATGCATATGTGTAACTGAGCTGTACAAATACATATAAGTAACTATGAAAATTAGATTGTTAGAAAAGTATGTAATTAGAAAAATAGTCTGACATTTCATTAATGATTTGTTTTCAGTGTCAGTAGGATATGAATATGAAACATGCCCTGATTTTATTCTGTGGGAAAAAAGGACAGTAATCCTTCAGGGTTTTGAGATGGATGCTTCGAATCTGGGAGGCTGGGCCATAAACAAACACCATATATTGAATCCACAAAGCGGTAAGTTCCTTCTTTACTGATCAGACATTTGGAGAGGAGTGTGTTGGCAGAATAACAATGAGGAATTAGGTGCTCGTTGTTAATATATTGATCTAATAGGAATGGTCAATTCCCTTTATGAAGGAACCGTACACTGGACCCCAGCTGAAAGACATAAAAGCATTAAGATACTAAAATTAGCTAAATGAGTAGAGTATATTTGCACAGGAAGGCTTGGTTGGCTCCGTTAATTAAAGTATGCTGTTCCTAATGCTAAGCTCAAGGGTTCAATCCCCTCGTAGGCCATGTCTTTTTTGGGAGACTAGATGATTTCCTGTAGTACCCTTCCAGCCCTGCTTTTCTAATATTCTGTGATAAGCTCTTGGTTTGAATCCAATATTGGAAGTGGGAGTTGGCCGTTGTTGTAGTTTGTTGGTCTACATGAAACAATTTTACAACACATCATCATCTCATTGGATGTACTCACCACAAAACTGGCTTCATCTGGCACCTTTATTGGCAGTCACATCAGGGAAGCGGAGAATCTAACGGTTAGGAAAACCAAACCAGCTACTTGCATCTAGATGTGGTGTTTCTAAAGTATATTTCAGAGGCTGTGTAGAAGCTTACATACCTGCCCATACGTTGTCCTTTGGCTAGGTTACAGTTCAGGCTGGAAGTCCAGCAGCATTCACCAGTGCTAAGCAAAACAACCCGCTGAATCATTTTATTTCCCTAATGTGATTTCTGCTTAAAATTTCTCAAGGCATTAGTCTGTTTTCAGGTTGTTAACATTTTGTTCTTATCCCCCCTCCCCCCAGTAGCTATAAATAGGAACCCATGGGATAAATCTGGACAGTGAACTTGCCATACTTAGCGTTGGCACCATTAGATATGCCACCCACAGTCCTCCACACTGGCTGTCCCCTAAGCTGGAAGCACAGTAGCTGTGTCCATCTGGCATTCAGAGGTAATGGAATTGGTACTGTCACCCACCACGTACTTAAAGGCATTGCCATTAGACCATGTAGACAGACCCTCAGCGCATTTAAATTATGAAGTGAATGCATGTTATAGTAAATTTCAGCAGCTGGAATATATAGGTATGTAGATAGGCAGATAATGGAGATGCAGGAAAAAAATGGTGAAAAACCTGGTGTCAGATCCGTAAGTAAGCATAAGTTTGCACACTGTTAACTTCAACTTAGCTCCCCAAGTTTAAATCAGCTGAGATTCTCTCCACTAAAATCTATTTCCACCTGCAAACAACTGTTACCCAGATTCCTGCACTGATATAAAGCTGTCAAGTTCTTTTACAAATTCTGTTGTCCAGCATATGAGTACAGGATAAATATTCCATATACAAAAGGTCAGATTTAGTTTGTAAATTATCCAGATTTTTGTTTTGATTTGAAATAGTTTGACATTTTGAACAGCGGGTCTTTCAGCCCCACATTATTGGTTAGTATAGATTGTCTTTCTTAAATGCCAGCTATTGACATTTAACACAAAGAGGAATCTGACCTCAGGCAGCCCAGCCCCCAACTGTGAGCCACACAGTCTACTTTTTAGTGCCAATTTGCCACTGACATAGCTTAATTTCAAGACTCAGTTATTGGCAAAAACACCAATTTATATGGATGTGCAGGCTTCATACCGATTGTAATGATTCCCATTGTTTTTCACACTAAAATGTTTCTAAAAGGCTTTGTAAATGTCAAGATAGGACCCAAGGGCTAAACATTTGGGGCTAAATTATGCCTTTCAGCAACAAGCACAGAGTATGTGATGATAAATTCTTCTAGCAGCAGCTCCCTAAGACAGTATAAGACAACTGGCTATACTTCAGATTGCAGGCACCCAAGCTAGCTTTAAACAGGCTAGCTTAGGCAGTCCTAGCTGCAGCACACAGGCTGCTTCAAGCTTCTGCTGTGGCTAGATTCCTTCCAATATCCAAGCTAGATCATTTAAAGCTGGAGGTATCTCTAGGCTACACAGTGGATGTATCTACGTGAGATGCTTTTATCAAATGCACAGTGAAGCATCAGTATCTGTACATACACAGCAGTTACTGCATAGTAGATTAGTCTAATGTGCCATTTTCTAGTACCTGTAGGTAAAGGTACTAGAAATCAGTGCATTAAACTAATATGCCAAAGTGAATGTGTAGACACTGACCGGGAGCAAAGTGCAGAGGGCCACAGGGGGTGGGGAGAGCTGCCCAGGCTCGGTGGGATGGTGCCTCCCAGCCACATGGAGATCAGCATGGGTCCCAGTCTCCACGTGGCTGGAAGGCAGCTGCCCAGACGGTTCTCCCTTGCCCTGTGGATAGCCTCTACCCCATCCCACCAAGCTGGGACAGCTCTCTCCCAGACACATGGAGAGCAGGACAGGTCCCGACCTCCATGTGGCTGGGAGGGAGTGTCCCCATCTCCATGTGGCTAGGAGGCAACTGTCTGGCACCCCAGGCAGCTCTCCCCTGCCCCACGAAAATCAGGACAAGCCCCTGTGCCCCCTGTAAGTCTGAGGCTGGCACCCAGGGGAGCCTGGAACTCCCCCTGGCTGCTGCAGGGGGGGAGAACAGAGCAGCCCTAAACTGAACTCCTGTCAGGAGCAGATTTACTGCCGACAGGCACACATTCAGATGCGTGTGGAGGCCCAGTTTAATGCACCTGAATTTTCATGCTATACTTACTTCAAAAGGATGCAGCCTCTTCTAAATATTCCTGTTAATACTATCCCTGAGAAACCCTTGTGATTTGACTGAGTACAAATTTTGACTTTCACTAACTCTTATACCTATGTTTTCCCTGGGGAAAGGAGTCTTCCTCTCCCAGCTGGGGGAAGGACACAGACCAAAGCCATTTTGAAAGTTTAATTAATTGAAGCAGCTTTCTTTAATAGGACTGTAGGATAATACGTTCTCACTTTTAGTTACATTAGTGATCAAGTGGACCAGAATCGAATACCAATCAGCTCAAGAGGATCCTGCATTACTGTATTGCGCCTCTTCTCAGGGGCTTTGTTTTGTCCCCTTATTTCCATTGGGTCTTTATGCACACATTGGCTCATACATGTATTTCCCTTTCAATCCATTCCTGCTTTGACCGTGTTTACTGCTTAAAACATTTCCTGAAATAGACCAGTGGTTCCTTATCATGGAAATTGAAAGTAACATTTTTCTGTCTCTCTCTATTTTGCATACCACCATTGTCTTAAAGGGGCCTCACAACAGAGCAGCAACCTAGAGTTTAGCTACATTGCTTGCTAAGAACACTTAAGTATTATAAGAGTCCTGTTCAGCTTATTCATCCTGCCTTTTAAAACAAATATAAGCAAGCACTTAATATTTTCATGTAAGTAGAGTGAATAAATATCCATCTAACACACTTAAGAAGGCATTTTAATTTAATGCAGTCTTTAAGTATTTGTTATCTAACATTCCCACCTAACATACAGGCACAAACTGGGAAAGATTAAGATTTAAATCAGGGTAAACTGTTATTCACCTTTCCCTTTCCAAGTTTCCAGTCGTGGGAGGCATAGAGTACATGTTGTTCCTTGAAGTTAATTTGTCTACTCATATGTTTAAAGTTAGGCATATACATAGGTGCCTCCTTGAACTGGGGTTATAAGACATGATCTAAAACCAAGTGAAATCACTGAAGTGTCCCATTGACTTCAGTGAGCTTTAGAGTGGGCCCATAGCACTCTAAAGTAAGAACAAATGCTTGAGGAGTCCAAGACGGAAAAATAATTAAACATACTAATTATCCATCTAACTTAGTAGAAAATAGCCCCACAAATAAATGATAAATCAGATATTCAACTCCATTACCAAAAGGTCAAGAATAAATAATAGACTACTACTTAGCCTTAGCCAAAAGGTTAAGAAAATCTCTTCAATTTCAGCTATGCAACCCAGACATGTAAGTAAGGGTAAGGTTGTGAGTCAAGCCTAAAGACAGAAAAAATAAATTTGAGGTTTATGTTCTGGGCCAGTTTGAGAGAAGCTGAAAGCATGATGATAGAACAGCTTTCTCAAATATGAATTTCTTGCAATTATTTTCAGAGGCCATAGATTTACTTCCTTTTTGAAATGCTGCCACTGGATCAACTGTAGGAATAACATCAGGAACACAATTCAAATGTAAAGTTTTTCTATTCTTTATTTTGAATGGTTTTTGTTAACTTTCATTTTACCCTAACATTAGTTTAATCAGTTATATTGTGATACGGAGTTTACAGTCAATTTCCATCAATAAAGTCTTCTCCCCCAGCAGACTTTCTGCTGTTCCTTCCTGTTCTTATGGTTATTTCTGTGCCTAAGAGAAAATGCATGAGCAGTGTAGGGCATGTAGGTAGTCTCCCCCTCTGACAGCTAAGCATTCTACTCTTGAAGCCAAGGAGTCAGACTCTATATCTACAAAGTGGCCCCACTTAAGTAATATAGGTTGTTCCCAGCCAGACTGTCCTATAACCTATAGCTGCTGCTCTCCCAGGATAAATCATAAGTGTACAGATGTTCAGGCTTTTTCTCCCAAAGTAAAAATGGCTGCTGCAGGAGAAAAATAACCTGGGAACAACTAGAATTAAATATCTGTATGTGCTGTAGCTTCTCTCAGAAAAGAATAAGGTCCTTCAGCATCCATCTCCATGCCTCAGGAGACAGTGAGTCACTCATTGGCCTCCACTGCTCCAGAGCATGATCCCTTCACAGTCCCTACACTGTGCTGGAGAGAAACGCAGGCTGACCATGGGAAGTCTGGGTCAGCCAATCAGGGCTGCCCTATTCACTGCTGCCACCTGCCACCAAGCAGACTAAGGGAGCCTGCAGAGCATGCTGAGTAGAAATTCACAGCCCCTGCTCCCCTTCCCCCAGCTGCACAGTGTCAGCATTGCAAGTTCTCCATTCTTCAGGGCCTCAGCATTCAACTGCCTGCACATGCAGCTCTGGGTAAGTTTTTCTACCAAGAGAACAAACCTGAGAGAATTCTCCCAGATTATTTGAAAGTGTATATGCAACCTAAGTCTCCTGCATCCTGACTGAGGTGCTGTAAGCACTAGGTTATTACAGGGAGGGTAGATATCACTATCATTAGGTGTCTTCTCAGAAGGTTCTGGATCCTGTGGATAGAAGCATTTTACTTGCAGCCCTGACTTCCAGGAAGGATGAAAGTTCTGACACATGCTCAGCATTTCCTATTCCCTAGTCAATGTCTGGTCTCTGAATTGCACCTCAGAGATACTTCATTTCCTCCAGTGACTGTATAGGGAATCAAGGTGGTTAATTCCATTTCTTTGAATTACTCCCTGGAGCCAGGTGTCTAATATTTAAGGATATTGAAGCCTGAGCTGGAAGTACCTAAGAGGCCAATCTGGCTTTCACTTTTAGAGAACACACATACCTGCATATTAGCTCCTGAATGCATAAAGTACCGTTGAACTGTCCAGCTAGCTCATGAATACGGATGAATGCCCCATTAACCAGTATTTCCTTTGAAGTGGATTATTCTTTAGATGGGCAAGTATATGGAAAGTTTTCTTTTTCCATGTTAAAGGAACTTTATTCTTTGAAGTTACAGATGCAGTAGCTCTGGCCCCGATCCAGCATACATACTGATTGAAATCAAAGAGACTACTCACATGCTTAAAACTAAGCACATGCTTAAATTTTTTAAAAGCCAGACAAACTCTCTGGAGTCCTAATTATATATTGGTGTTTATATGAGACAGATGAGAGAGTGTCTTTACATAGTGAGCCTCAGACAAAGGCCAACATCTCCTGTCAGGGAAATGGTTTTACAGGGTGGGGGAAAGAAAGAAATTTCTATTGATTATGTTGGTATATTTCCAAGGTCCTCTTCTATGCTGAGTATAAACTCCAAAGGGAAATACATATCCTGTCCCCTGTTGTTCATAAATAAATTTGAAAAGTTTCCTCTTTGAAAGCTGTATAAGGTGCCACCCACTAGGCTCCAAGGGGAATTTCCATTTCAAACTTCTTTAAAAAAACTGCAAAGTAACTTCTAAACAAGGGCTATAGGATTGCTACAGTTGCAACTGTGTCAACATTTAAGGAGACTCTAAAGCAGTTGAATGTGGGCATGTCTACATGTGCATTTACAGCAGCTTAAGTTTACTGCACAGTAAGCAGGAATAGGCCAGCATCAACACGTGCAGGTGTTAAATCGCATTAACGCTGCACATGGACTGACTTGGGACTAAGGTTAGATCCAAGTCAGTTCACACTCACATCATTATTGAACAATAGGACGTTATCAAATTTACATTCAAGTAAGCGTAAGTCACCATATTTACTGCGCAGTATGGGTGTGCACGTGTAGACGTGCACACCCATACTGCACATTAATTTTGGTTACTGTGCAGTAAATGCACACATGTAGACACACCCTGTGTCTCTTAATGCATAATTTCCTATGCTGTTTAAATTATGAAGTGGATGGAGTTACATCAATGTTAGACTGGTATTCAGTTCAGACTCAGGGCAATGGATGAGTTGTGTCTGTGGTTCATTTTACATAGCGAGTAGATTGATTGCGGTGGTGTGAGGTGGTAGGAAGCTGTAACAAGAGCAACGCATTTCCTAAAGTTATACTGCCGAGAAAGTGTTGTTAATAGCTGGAGCAAGATTGAATGCTGTGGTATCATGGAATGGAATTATGCTTACTTGGATGAAACATATATTCTTGTGACAATAGCAACAAAGGAACCTTTCAGCCCGGTGGTTTTTTCAAAAGCTGAACACGGTGCAGTACAAAGGGGTTTTACGCATGTCTTTAATTGTTCTGGCTTTAACCTGGGATGTTAAAATGCCAGTGGCACGGTGTCTCCTACGAAGCACAGCTATCACTTGTCAATGTAATCAAAAACTGTATTCGCCTGTGTTTTATTTCCTTAATCACACTTCTTATTTGGTACAGTGCTGGGCTTTCTAATAGAAACAAGGGATTTGGAACTTGTGGTCTTGGAAGACTTCTGTAGAATACCTCTCTTCAGTTTTAAAATTGCCATGAGTATAGTAATAACATGTCATTTTTGAGGGTAATTGTTAACTGTATTGCTATGTGGTTATATAAAAAAAAGGATATCTACCTGAGAAAATAGATGTTAGTACAAGATCTGATATTACCAACCTAATAATCGGAAAGATTTTTGAATATGTCCTACTGCTCAGTGCTGAAATACTGACAAGTTGAAAAGCTGTTTTCTGTTTTATGGCGGAGCATATTGTATTTTCATTGGTAAGAAATTCCATTGCTGATCAGAATTCCTCTTCTTTTCTTAACTCAGCTGTACTGCAGCCACCACCATTTTTATACATTATCAGCAGCTTGCCTTTGAATATTGATTGTACACTGCAGTTCAATGCCCTTTTCTGAAAAATGCAGAGTAGTCCTGCTATTAATCTCCCTTAATTAAATATTCAAAGTGTCTAAGAAATTCCAGTGCTGGCTAATAAAAATTTATGAATAAAATGAATATTTAAATAGTAATCCCCAAGAAATTAGATACCGCTGCAATTAACAGTCAATTTGTTAGAGTGTTAACTAACCATGCGCTCTCATCATGATCGCAGACCTTAAAATAGTCACTAACCACTACCCAAACAGGACGATCGTTGAGCTGAGAGCAGGGGCTGTTTAGAATTGGAAGTCGGCTCTTACGATCTTTTCCTTAACTCTTTAACAGAACTGATCATACTTCTCCTTTTCAATAAAGAGCTTTTCAACAGCACTGCAAAATACACAAGTAAGTTAAAGAATGCTGTAACTGCTGCATTTTTCCCTGCCAGATGATTTTCATTTCAGCATTATAACAAGCCAGGAACTTACACCCCTGTTTTCAGAATGTGTAGGTAGAACAAGTCTTCTCGTTGCCAGCTCTGCTGATGTTTCTGTGGGATAATGAAAGCAAAACAGAGCTGAGCACAAAAACTGAGCAAAATTAATTTATTTGCTTTTTTATTATGACTCCTTTCTGTCTTCAACCTTCTCTTTTCTCCCATCTAGGCATTGTACACAAAGGAAACGGTGAGAACATGTTCATTTCCCAACAGCCCCCCGTTATCTCAACTGTCATGGGTAGCGGACACCAAAGAAGTGTCTCTTGCTCCAGTTGCAATGGTCTTGCTCTCAACAACAAACTCTTTGCCCCAGTTGCTATGGCTTGTGGCCCTGATGGCAGTATATATATTGGAGACTTCAATTTTGTCAGACGGATATTTCCCTCAGGAAATTCCATTAGCATTTTAGAACTACGGTAAGAAATCATTGATTTCATTGATTGGTTGGTGGTCAGATTTATTATCATGAATATGATACTGCTATGAGAAATTCAATGAAATATTTTTAAGTGGCCTGAGGGATCAGCCAAATTTAGCTGCCCAGAAAAGATGCGTCTTTCTTATTTAATGTCAGACAACATATATATCCGAAACCTTAAGATTGCTTTAAGGCGATCAGTTAAGTGAGGCAGGGGTGCTTATGTTACATCTTCCTAATTATGTAATTGGTTAAAAAGGTGTAAACTGAACACGCTTAATCCTCTCCCCCCATATATTTTTCACATACATTTATCAAGGTAGAATAAGATTTTAAAGCATTTTTTTGCTTTAAATCAATTTAACTACCTAAGATGAAAGAGCTGAACAGAGTAACAGACTCAAATATGGTCAGAGCTCACAGAGCATTGGTGCTTACTGTTGAGGGCAGATTGAGTGCAAAAGTATGCAGATCCAGCTAAACTGTTTCCCAGGCCTTTCTTAGAAACCCAGCAAACTACAGCTGGGTGGATCTTAAGACATATGCAGGTCACAGGCATTCAAAACAAAAATCTCTCGATCCAGGGGGTGTTCTGCCACCAAAAGGCTACTGTCCTATACCTACCCTGCTATACCAGTGGTGCTCAATCTCCAGTCTGTGAAGTCATGTCATCCAGCAGTAACAGGGATCCCCATGGGCTAATAGCCGTTCCTCTGCTGTCAAATTTCCTGACCCATAGAAAGCCCCACTGGCAGGATAACATGGCCCTGTGCTCTAGATCACACAAGTGTGGGGTTGGGCCAGCATGCAGGATCAGGCTGGTACATGGCCAGATTTGGTATGCTGGATTGCACCCGCAGACAGACCCCACATTGTTCATTTGGCCCACGACGCTGTAAGACTGTGCGCCACTGTACTCGATACACCTGCCCTTGCCATTGACACTGCGCCCAGTTTTACTCTTGGGAGGTACAAAATAGCCCTGGCCCCCAAAATATTACAGTAAAGCTTTTCTCACAGTTGCTATTTACATACTGTGCTACTTGCACACTCTTATCTCCACTAGAGTTCCTTTCTCTGAAAAGCCACTAATCTGTACTGGAATCAGTGGGACCACTCACTTTTTCAGGATTAAGCCTTTACTCATTTCAAGTACCAAACTACACCAGGGCACCATGTCCCATGTAATTTATACCCCACCAAGCCTTTACTGCATATCCAAATACATGGCTGGACTTCCAACTAGCATGATTAGAGCTAAGGCTGCGCATGGATTGTCTGTGAGCTGTGGGCAGTGGAAAAGAAACAACTAAATTGGAGTGAGAGAAATGATGGATAAAGTGGTGGTGGGATGCTGAATGACTCGACTGCTTTCCTTGATTCCTACATGGTGCATTGGTGGGCTGTACAAAGTGAATAAGTCTGGTGTGTGTGTATGTGTGTGTGTGTGTGTCTCGTAGGCAGAGGTGGTTGTTGTGGGTTTTGGTCAATGTTGCCAACTGATGTGTGTTGTTTTGCTTTTTTTCTGGCTCCTGAACTGTCACATTAGGAACAGAGATACAAGGCATAGGTAAGTAAAATCTGGTACTGTTGTGTACACATGCCACTGCTTTAAAAGAACAAACCTAAGCAAAGGGAGGAGCGGGGTTCGGTACAGGTTGACAGAAGCACTGTACCTTTAACCAATGTGAGTAAAGATCAAACTCAGCTGTGTTTGCTTTAGGGGGTGTAGAAGTGGATCACCTCTCCAGACCTACAGGCCCCTCAGTTTGCTAACCACCATGGCACAGAACAGTAAGAGCAAGGGCTAAGAGTATTTGTTAAAGGTGACGGTGTTATTTCATTAACATGCGTCATATTCATTTTGATCTACACGCACGTTTCAGAAACTACGGGTAAAACAGCTGCCTGTGTTGTAGGTCTGTGACAGGGTGGGAAACTGTACAGCAGCAGGAACACTGACAGCAGCTTTGTCGAATGACCCCGTCATTCATGACTATCTAGAGAAGTGACGTGGTCCACAAACTGCATTGCACACCGAGTGGTTTTATTTCAAAATTGCTGTTAATTTCTGTAACATCCTCATATATTTTATCTACACGTGGTCAACTGTAAATGTGGTCTGCCAGGGCGAAGTAGAACCGGTCAAGGAACAGTCACAGAATTGTGATTTGGCAAGTCACAGCTCCTTTTCTGCTTTCACATGGCCCTGGGGAGGAGGAATAAGTTACTGCCCACTTAGAGCAGCTCATTCCTTACCGTGGGGCCTGTTGCCCACTCCACACAACAGGTAGTGAGAGAGGTGGGCAAAAAAGTAGATGCCCAAAAGTGCTTTCCTTTCTTTCCCCCTTCTGCCCCCTTCCTTGTATTAAGAAGAAGTGCAAGATAGCCTTGTTCTCTGTATCACAGCAGAATCACAGCCTAAGCATAACCCAGCATGGGGGAAGAGGCAAGGGGGACAGACTCTGGATAGCTGAGTGTAGGCTGGATCAATCTAGCCAGTACGTGACATTAAAAGGGGTAGGAAGAACAGAGAACAACAGGCTACCAGGGCTTCTTACGCTTTCCTTAGATTCTAAGAAACAAGCTCCTCCCTCTCCTGACAGATTAATTAAATGAGTAGATAAGGCAGGATTGAGGCATCCTATTTTGATGGCTGTGTGACAACACAGAGAAAATCCCAGAACAGACTAAACCAAATGTACAGCACGTTTTGTTTTGAGGGCTGACACCATCATCATCAATTATTTGACTTTCGCCACAATATTATTACTGAATGAGAGTTTATTTGCCAGCCTCCTTATCAAAAATATAATCTTTCATGCATTTTGCAACAAAAAAGCTAATGGGAAGATATTACAGTAGCTGATGGCATGCATTTCCATGGTTGGTTTTAATGATTGTTTCAATTTTGCTTCTGAGATAAACTGGTCAAATTTGTTCTAAATTACATGAAGTTGAAAAGAACAAAATTGAATGGGTTTGCTCTGGAATGCCAATTGTCAACAAAATGGCATTAATCAAGGGTCTTAATTTTTGCTTCAGTTTATGAAAGACAACTTTCTCTATGTCGGTGCAGTAAAACAGGAACCTGCTAGCTTGTCTACATAGGCTTAAACATTAGTTAAGTTACTTGTCAGATTACTTCCCACTAAAGTGATGTAGACTATTAATTGCAAGTATTAATTGCCTATTTGCCAAGTTACATTAGTCTTACTAACTTAAAAGAAGTGATCTGTGGTAAATTGAAACACATCACTTGGAGCAAGTAAAAGGTATTGTGGTTATGGAAAAGCTGTTACCAGTCTTCATTACACATGGCTCTGCTGAGGCTTTAAAAGCCACAGCCACATTAGAGAAGGGTATGAATGTGCCTTCTTCCCAAGGAGGACAGAGGAACATAGAGTGCTTCCACAGTTGTAGATTGGTCTTGCAGGAGTAGCGGCTATTATACCTTTTGCCACAGTTTGGGTAATCTGCGGGTGGGCCCTGTCTGGGGATGGGGTGGAATCAGGCCCTTGGAGGAGTCCATCGGCTCCATTGGAGACCTCTGGGAATGCCATAGAGTGCAGGGAAAGCCCTTACTATACAGTGTCTGAGGACACTCAGCCAGACCCTTCTAGCTAGTACAGGAAGAAGAGGACTGTGCCCTGCCTCTTCTGCCCCCATTCTGGACTGGTTTGCATCTCTTAGAGCAGAAGGAAGGTAGTCTGGGGTCAGGTCTGGATTGAAAACCTGCTACCGTTATGACCATAAGCAGTAAACCTGTACTACTCAATGCCAAGTGCTGGGTGGTGGTTAATTAACCTGGCAACCTGTGGAAGCACTAACAGCTTCAGGTGGATGAGCGCCTAAGGAAGGTAGTGGAACCCTTGATGGAGGAAATGCCATCAAAAGGTAGATGAGCATAATCACTCGGTAATGTTGCCATCGGCATCCACACAGAGCAGATTGAGCTCTTCGGCCGTGGCTGGCAACCAATCTAGGAGTGGAGCCCCAAAAGGCAGGCAGATGGAAGACCTCCTCTGCACTGGCAACTCCTGCAGCGTAGCTAGTTCCAAACATATCAACTCCCACCTTTCCTTTGAACCAAACCAATATAGCCAAGAGGGAGGCACTGATACATGGGCAAAGCAGCGTCTCCAAATCAACTGCCCAGGCTATTGCAGCCACAGCACGTGGAGAGGACATATCCTTGCTGGCAGAATGGACACAATACAGAAGGTGGCAGTTACGGGTTATAAGCTTTCACCTGATTGGCATAGAGCAGGGCTTCACGGGTCACCTTCGAGCATAAGGAATTGTCGCATTCCACTGGTCAGCTACCGCCCGCCATAATGCCAGGCAGCCACTGGACAGTTAGGTGCTGACCCGCCACAGTCTGTCTGCCTCATTGGATACATCGGACTAGGCCAAGAGCCTAAAAGCAGACAAAAAACTTGCACCTGGCAAAAACAAGAAATCAAGAACCTTCTGGCTTGGAAGCCGGAACATCAAGATCATGTGTCTAGGCCCGACAGACTATGATGACCTACAGTAGATAAGCAGCATACAGAAGTCAGTCTTGATTGACCGCAAGCTGTGCAAACTCAGTGTTGACATTGCAGTGCTCCAGGAAACAAGACTTGCAGATGCTGGTTCTATCCAAGAGGCCAATTATACCTTCTTTTAGAAAGGTAAAACTACAAAAGAAAATAGTCTGTACAGCATCAGCTTCACTGTGAGCAACGAGGTGGTAAAGCTTATAGAAACACCCACTAGAGAATCAGAACGCATCATCCAACTTAGACTTCAGACAATCATCAGCTTTGTGAACATCATCAGCGCTTATGCACCAACACTCAACTCCACCCTTTAGGAGAAGGATACATTTTATGACACTGCACCAAGTTGTCAAAGGAATACCATCAACCAAGCAATTGTTCCTCCTTGGAGATTTTAATGCAAGAGTCAGCACAGGCAACAACTCATGGCCAGATTGCCAAGGTGTTTAGCATTGGCAAGATAAATGAAAATGGCCAATGATTTCTTGAATTCTGTGCCCAAAAGCAACTGTGCATTACCAATTCATATCTTGCTGGAAAAAATCACCAGTGTCGTGGCAACATCCACAATCAGGTCACTAGCACCAATTAGACCTTGTTATTGTGAGGAGGAGAGATTTACCTTCAGTGCAGATGACCCGCACATTCCACAGTGCCAATTGTGACACCGTCCACTCCTTGATCATTAACAAAGAAACTACATGGAGCAAAACCTAGGAGCAAGTCCAGAATCAATACCACTAACGCCAAGAATCAGAGGAAGTGCTAACAGTTTGTGAAAGCTTTCAAACTCGGCATGTTTGGGAAGTCAGTATAAAAGAACACAGAGGAAATTTGGGAAGGTTTAAGAACTGCAATCCATGAAACAGCTAAAGCTATGTTTGGGGAAAAGAGGCCATTTGATATGAACTGTTTGAGGAAAATGCAGAACTATTACCTCTTGTCAACATCAAGAATACAGCCTATCTGGAACACAGCAAGAAGCCAACTGAGAGCACCAAAGCAAGACTTCAGCAAGCAAAAAATGAGGTACAGAGAGCAACCAGACACTGTGCAAATCAGTACTAAACTAAACTCTGTGATGAGATGCAGACAGCCTCAGACACAGGAAACTAAAAGTCGTGTGCAATGGTCTGAAGAAAGCTCTAGGGCCTGCTGTCAACAAAGTTGCTCCTCTCAAGTTGTGCAATGGCGAAGCCATTACAGATATAAACAAGCAGATGTCTCTTTGGGCTGAACACTACTCAGAGCTATACTTACAAGAAAGAAACATTACCAGCGAATCACTAGACCTGCCAACTCAACAGGTCATGCTAGAGTTAGATGTGGAGCCCACTATAGAAGAGTTAAGTAATGCCAGTGATTTATTATCGAGTGGCAAGACTTCTGGAAAAGATGGCATCCCAGTGGAAATTCTCAAGTTCAGGAAAGGAAGCCTATTTCATCAACTGCTACTCAAAAGCTGGAAAGAGGGTGAGGTACCCCAAGACATGCGTCATGCAAACATCGTCACGCTGTATAAAAATAAAGGAGATAAGAGTGACTGCAGTAACTACAGAGGTATCTTACAACTTAGTACAGCAGGAAAAGCTTTCACAAGAATCATCTTGGTGCATCCAAAACAGCTGGTGAGACATATTTACCATGAATCTCAATGTGGATTCAGGGCTGGAAGATAAACCATAGACATGATATTTTCCCTGCAGCAACTTCAAAAAAAGTGCAGAGAGCAAAACTGACCACTGTGCATCACCTTTATGGATCTAACAAAAACATTTGATACCATCAGCAAAGCAAGTCTGTTTGCAGTCCTGGAAAAGATAAGATGCTCACCAATCCTGTTAAGTCTTATACGTTCCTTCCACAACAACATGAAAGCTACTGTTCAGTTTGAGTCCACTTCAGACAGCTTTGAGATGAGAAACAGAGGGAAGCAAGGATGCATTCTTGCCCCTACACTCTTTGTAATCTTCTTCTCACTGCTCCTGAACTACTCGCTTGAAGACATGAAAGGTGGAATATACCT